AACCATCATTAAGTCGTTATAATGTGGCTGTAAGTAGTCTATATAAGCTATTGGCAATAATGACAGAAATCATAACAAAATTATGATGACAACAGTGACAAGAATCAAGTTCATTCCTCGTGATCATGGCAACAAGCACCTATCACGAGACTTTAGTGAAATTCACAAAAATAATATCATATCATATTCTTAGTGAGTTTGTTTATTTGTTTTTCTTACTTCCTCAACAGAGTTCAGCAAATCGCATCGAATGACGAATGAATGATAAACGAATTTCACTGAACCAATTTTGATTACAAATCCGTGCAACAAAGTGCTTTGTGAATTGGACTGTGATTATTGCATGAAATTTATTCCATTTCGATGTAATGCAATGTGCATTCGTTAAAGAACTACTCACCGAATCAGGTTTGCATCGAATTCGCATTAAACTGTGTCATAAAGATGGTGACAATCATCCCGTATCATCAATACTGCACACATCGTTTCTGTATGCACGCATGATGCATGTTCGAATACAATAATATGTCACCATGCTCTCTGCGAACGTCCTCAGCATCATTATCATTTGGGGAAAAATACATGACTGATTCAATATGCAAACTGGTTCTCCTCATCCTTTTTAGGAACTGAGAGTCGGAATTTATGATTGAGAACCAAACTTAACTTATTCATCCAAGTATTGTTTGTTTACAACGTAACTAAAGTTGATGGAAGTCATGGAAGAGTTCAAAAAGTCCAAACAAATTCAGTGATCTCAACGATCTTCTACACCAAAACAACGAATAATTCCTCTCACACAGTTGATCTCATAATAGATCAATTGATGAGGAACATGGAAAAACTTTTAATAGTTGTAAAAACTTTTATAGATGATTTGAGAGCGATGAAGAGTTATTTCCAAATCACAGAAAATTATCCTGTAAAACAATCTAGGGAGATTAAACTTATACCTATGGATCTATTATCAAAAATACACTTCTACCATGGGAACATATCGTATTTCCTAATTGGAATTGATGCCACCTCATTAAATTG